CTATTGTGAATGATGCTGCAATGAACACGTGAGTGCAGATAGCACTTTGAGATACTGATTTCATTTTCTTTGGATATATATGCAGAAGTGGGATTGCTGGATCATATGGCAGTTCTATTTTTAATTTTTGGAGGAATCTTCATACTGTTTTTCATAGTGGCTGCACCATATTACATTCCCTCCAACAGTGCGTGAGGGTTCCCTTTTCCCCGCAAGCTCACCAACGCTTGTCAATAACTACTTACTGAGCACCAACATGTCTTGGGTACTGTGCTCAGCAGTGGGGCAGGGCTGAATGCTTCAGGCATGATCTCTCTCAGTCCCAGGTCTGTTAGCCCATGGGTACCCCTCCCCATCCCCCCAGAACCTACAGAGGGTTCATCTCCATTGCTGGCCTTCTTGCCATCCCAAAGAGCTTAGAATATTCCGCACGTTTTCCTGTTTCCTCCTCCAGACCACTTACAAAAATATTGAATAAGATTAGTCATAACACTAGTGCTTGGGGAGTCGCCCGGTTCCCACTTCTCCACACAGAAACATGTCTTTTTCTGTCTCTAACTTGGTTCTCTCTCCGTGGCCAAACTGCCCAAAGTCCCACGGAGACTCATTATTTTAAAATCCCTTTTTCATGTAGAACCTTGTCAAAAGCTTTTGGAAAATCTAAATAGCTAAGAGGCAAGTGCTGAGCTAGGAATCAGGAGACCTGGGTTTTTGTCCTCAATGTCATTGGGCGAGGGGCAGACCAGTCCCAATCTGTTTCTTCACGGGTAAAGCGAGAATGATTGCTGGCAGTCAATATCGTCAAAATTTTACAACCGTCAGATGAGACGATGGTATTTAAAAATACTTGAAATGCATAAAACAAAAAGAGAAGAGATTATAATTTTGAAAATTTACAACAGCATCTTTTTCATTCACATGCCTAATTTTCTCCCAAAAGAACTGTAATAGCTATGTGCAATAGTAGACTGAACTCCTCCAGCCTTCCCAGAGTGATGTTTGTTTAACATCAGCTACTGTCAGTCCTTGAAAGGATTCAGGTTTATCTAACCAATAGTGTAGTATGTAAACGCACAGAAGCTTGGGGGCTGGAATCAGTCAGACCTTGGTATGGGTCAAGGCCATGCCGTGCACTAGATGCGTGACCCTGGACAGGTTATTAACCTTCTCCGTGTCTCTCCTGTAAATGGGATAATATTAATGCTTACCTCATGGAGTTATGAGATTTATTGTTTAAATGTTATTAAAGTATAGTTGGTTTGCAATATTACATTAGTTTCAGGTGTACAGCATAGTGATTGGACATGTATATACCTTACTACGTGTTCACCACACCAAGTCTTGAACCATCTGTCACCAGGCAAAGTTATCACACTATTATTATTATGAGATTTAAAATGAGAGATAAGTACATGTAGAATGCCTCGGACCGTACCTGACACATAGTACCAAAGAGTCATTAACAACCATCATTGCTATTATTTATATAAGGGCCCAAGAGCTGGCAACTGATCCATCCTACCCAAATTTCATGATTGTTCATCATTCAACAAATCCCACCACAAATTCCTTTTTTCCGTGTCTTGTGTGAGAGTCTTTCAGCAGATGGGTGAATGAATGCTTACCTTTCTGTTTTCCAAAACATGTAGTGGCTTGGGTGGGGGGAGAGGGAGACCTGTCTTTCCAAAATACTGACTTCCTACCCATCACCCCATCCCTCCTCCCTGGGGAAAGCCAGGCCTGTGAGAACTAGCCTTATTGGTGTTCCCTGGTCCCTCCCTCTGTCCCTGCTTTCCTCTTATGTCCACCTACACCCAGCACATCACCTCATCCTAAGGAGCAGAGGAGTTAGAGCCAAATGAGAAAGAAGATCATTCAGGCACTGAATTCAGTTTCCCTTAGAGATCAGACCACACGGGCACCAGCATTCCCTCAATGAGCCATCCCCTGCCCGAGGCCCGAGGGTGCTGCGGACAAGCGAGGTTGCTCTGTATCACTCTTGTTACTCTCATGATGCTGCTCCAGAGGTGACTCACAGCTGGAGGTGAAGCCTGGCTGGGCCAGGGGCCAAAGCCATCACCGTGCAGTCAGACTTGGGTGGTAATCCCAACTGATTTTACACAAACTCTCATTTCATTCAGACGAAGGCAGGGCCTGTCCAGGTGGCTGTCTGGTGGCTTGCCGGTGGGCACAAAAGCGGGAGGGTTATTGGAATTTGAGGCATTTAGATTTTCAAAGCTAAACATAGTTCTCTTTAATGCTTTTACTAGTTTTTTTTTTTTCATGAGTTTAATGGGAAATTAGCAGAGGAGTTTTAACTTTATCAATTTATGTCTTCACTTTTAAAATAAACATTTGCCAAGCTCAAGTGTTTGAACATCGACATCAGGAATGACTGACAAAAGCCACAGGAATTGTATAGACCAGAGACAGACACTGACCTCAGTCCTCTGCCCTAGGTCACCACCCCACCCCTCCACCCCCAGGGAGCAACGGTGAATCCCATCAAGGGACCCATCTCTCATGTAACAGGTGAGAGGAAAAGCATGGACTTCAGAGTCCCGTCCCCAGGTTTTATGGCTCAGGCCAGTTGTTTAATGTACCTGGGTCTCATTTTTCTCATCTATTATCAGTGTATCAGTTAGAGCTTTTGATGTTGCAAAAAAGCCTTTTTATTCTTTTAACAATAAGGACTTATCTTGAGTAACTACAAACTCCTAATGTAGGGCAGGCTTTGGGGATTCAATGGCTCGAGGACATCACCAAAAAAAACGATTCTTTTTCCATCTCTGCTCCTGACCTTCCCTGGTTCCAGCTCCCCCACTGAAGCACAACAGGGCTGCCGACAGTTCTTTGAGCTCCCTGTCTCTTTGACCCATAGAGGGTGAGGAGGGATTTTTCTCCCCACCATCACGAAACACAGTCTCTGCTTTGCTCTGATTGCAGGTGTTGATTGGCGTGGGGCCTGCTTTCTCTCAGTCACTGTGGTCAGAGAGTGAGATTAAACTGATTTGCTCATGTCCATCAAGGTCCACCCCAGCAAGCAGGGGTTGAGTCCAATCTCGCACCAAAAATGAGAGAAGGCCGAAGGATGCCTGAGAGGTCATGCAAATCATGACAAATGAACATGAATCTCATAGGATTGAGAAGATTAAATCCCTAAGGAATGATGTACAAAACCATCTCCCAGTGCCTGATGTCTAGGAAGGGCTTAAAAATAATGCTTTGAAGGAAAACAAACAAACAGAGCCTGGGATGAACCTAAAATCAAACACTTAAATCACGAAATACCCTGGTGTCAGAGTTCAATGAATTCATCAGAAACGAGAGGCAGCAGGCACTCAGATGAGTCATGTGATCAGTTGTCACTAATGTGGTGTCCCTGCTCTCATTCAGTTCCTCTGAATAACTCTTCTCTTCTCCTTGATCTCATGAGAGGTTAAAAATTAAATATTAAAAATTGTCTACGGCCATACTGTCCGATCCCATCTGATCTCGGAAGCTAAGCAGGGTCGGGCCTGGTTAGTACTTGGATGGGAGACCACCTAGGAAGACCAGGTGCTGTAGTCGTAAAAAAATAAAAAAATAAAGGGTTGTAAGCTGACAAGGTCCTTGCAGTCTGTGAGGTCAACTAAGGGTTGCCTTGCCTAAAAAAAAAAAAATTAAAAATAAGAGTATATAACAGGACTGTTTAGATTATAATTTATTTTTTTTTTTTACTTTTATTATTAAGATCTCTAAAATAAGAGTATGTAACGGGACTGTTTAGATTATAATTTTTTTTTTTTACTTTTATTATTAAGATCTCTAAAATTACACCGTGGGTACCTTACAGATTCTTGCACAAATGGCATCTAATCGAGTTGAGGGATGCCCCAGATATCACCTCTCCCTGCCTCCCACCGTGTTCCCTGCATCCTTCCCACATCGTCGGGAATGTTTGGTTCTGACTTCAGTGTGAGCAGCATTGTTAGCACCGGGTAGTGATCATGTCGAATTTGTCAGCTCAGACTAGTGATGATTCTGATTCTAGAGTGGAGGCCAGCTTTTCTAGATTTGTCCTCAGCCATGGTGGGGGCTGCAGGGGGATGAGGGAGGCAAAGTATTTTTCCCCGTTGTCTCCATGTTGTCCAAGCAGTTCTAGGAAAGACTTTTGGACAACCCAGGGACAAGCTACTCTGCTGAGTGTTCTCGGAAGATTGAGGATGACTCATGCCCAAAGCACGTTTTCCTGGAACACTCACATCCCCTTCCCTGGGGACACAAATAGAACCTCTAGGAGGTTTGGGGGCCCTATATCTACTCCCAAATCTGGGACATGAGCCCTTAATGGCCAGAACGAGCCTGCTCGGTGTGAAACTTCTGGGGTTGGCCCCTTGCCTGGTTCCCCTGTACTGAAATTTCAGCAGGGACCGTCGGGTACCAGTTTCAAGGTACCAGCCCATGTCCTTATGCCCCCATGTTTTCTTCCGACAAATGTGGCAAATACTGCTGCCTTTCTGTTATAGGATGGCGCTCAGATCTGAGGCAGCTTCAGGTATCGACTGTTCCCCACTACCCACACCCCACTCCCCAATACCAAGACCTCAGACACTTAAGCCTGAGGCGCAGGGAACCAGAGACTGGCGCTCAGATCTGAGGCAGCTTCAGGTATCTACTGTTCCCCACTCCCCACACCCCACTCCCCAATACCAGCCCCATCCTCTTTTCTAAGGACACAGCAAGCAAGACTTCAGACACTTAAGCCTGAGGCGCAGGGAACCAGAGAGAATGACATGGGTTCCTGGCGAAGTCCCATTTGGGCTCCTCTTTCCTTCCCTTTGTCCTTCCCCATGATGGGCTATGTCACTCCTGTTCCTTTGGGCCTCACCTCTGGGCACTGTGGCCACAGAGCTCACTGCCTCTGCCCTGGCCGCTGGGAGGGTGGCTCGACTGAAGCTCGACTGCGGGCAGTTCAGGATCGGATCTCACCTCGGTCCTCCTCTCCCTCTTCTCTGCAGATCCGGGTGGACGGGCCCAAGGACAATGCTCTCCAGTATGAGACGGTGCAGGTGGTAGACCCCGGCCCTGTCCTCCGGGACATGGCCTTCTCCAAGGACCACGAGCAGCTCTACATCATGTCAGAAAGGCAGGTAAGGCTCTCTGGGCTCCGTTCGACATTGGTCTTACAGCCGAGTGCCAGCCTGTGGCTCAGCATAAACCTGCAGGAGGCCAGCTGCAGAGAGGGGTTTGACTCATGGCTCAGCATGTATCCTTTTGGTTATGCTGCCTACAGACTGAGGCTGAGCATGCTGAGACAGGGAATGAAACCTTTTAAGTAACAAAATATCTGTGAGTCTAGAACGAATCCATTAACTTCAAAATGCTGGTGTGTATATGTTCTGTGCCAACATTTACTCTCTTCCGAAGACACATTGTACAGATGCTCAAGGTTTTTGTCCAGACTCCCCTACACAAAGAGTCATCTCCTACCAAGGTACCCTTCTGACCCCCTGGAGGCCTGTGGTGGGCAAGGATTTGTTGCCCAAAAATCCCAAATGAGGGAATATCATAGAAGAGTTAGACGGAGGGAGATTCAGAAAATAGAGTCTGTGTATGAGAGACGAAATGACATAATGTGTCCTGAGCCTTTGGGTGTACCGGTAACTCTCACAGGGAACCTCTAGGAAATGTCATAAGGCCAAACCAAGCAGAAGAGATATGGTGCAGGGATTACTATCAGCTGGTACCAAATTAGAAGGTACAGAAGTGGGCTTGCTTCTGGAACTCAGCTGAGAACTAAGTAAGTTCTTTAGGGGTTCCTGAGCTCATGCCAGGGCTCTAGGTCTGCAGCAGGCGAAGGAATCAATTTCACCTTGGAAAGTCCGTAATTTAAGGATATTTCCTGGAGTGCCCTAATTCACTGCCACAAGACAGACCCCACCCCAAGTGTGCATTAGCACTGTCATACCTCTGCCCCGGTCATCTTTATGTAGGATGGGTCATTCCTAGGAGCTGTCCCTCCAGCCCATGAATATGGATGTGGCAAAGGCAGCAGCCATGAAGGGCAGATGCCCCCGCTTATTCATCTTCATTAGTGAGGCCTGAACTCCCCCAGAAGACCTTGCTGACAGAGTCTGGATTGTTCCTCCTGTCCCCTCTCTGCATAGTGAGGGAGATAAACACCACATTATGCCACCCACAGGCTTGTGCATTATGCTTTGGCAGCCCACAGCAGCTCCACCCTCCCCAAGAGCTTGATGACATCTTCTCTTGATGTGGGACTCCACATTCACACTAGGACCCATTGTGGTACCCGGCTTGAGACTGCTATGCCTTGGAAAAGGCCTGATGTGGGGCCAAGAGAGAAGCATTTCGCCCCAGGAGTCAGGAGCGGGTCTGAGGCTGCTCCTTCGCTTTCATTCCCGGCTCTTTCAATGGGGCCCGTACTCCCCGCTCCCTGCCTCCAAGGCCCTAGGCACTGAGAGGAAGTAGCTTTCCTTGGTGGAATGAGTCCTTTGGAGGAGACCTGAGACCTCCCTAAGGTATTGAATATTTCAAGATTTCTTGCCTGACCTAAAAGCCAGGGTTTCTGACCCTGGGACTTAAAACACTGAAGGACTTCCAAAGATGGAAAATATAGGCTATGTGGAGCCTCTTTTGATAAGTGAGTTGGGATTCTGAGCCGCTTGTCCTCAGCTTCATTGGGAGTGACTTCAGTGGTCGGTACCCATTCAGGCTTGGCGGTGAGGCATGCTGGGAGCTCTGGATTATTGGAAAGGAAGGCAAGAAGGGAGAGGACCAGAGCATTCATCCATTTGGGGCTGCTTCTCCAGAGGTGAAGGGCTACCTGCCACCCAAGTCACGATCCCAAGGCCCCCGACAGTTGGGCCAATGCTGGTAGACAGCGAGTTTGTAGCTTCTTCGTGGGGAGTGGTAGTGGAGGACATGGTTAAGGGCACAGGTCTGGGTGTCAGAATATCTCAGCCTGCATCATGGCGCTACCATTTACTGAGCGTGATCTCAGATAAGTTTCTTAACCAATTTAAGACTCAGAGTTCTTAACTGTCACATAGAAGTAATAACGACGTGCAATAGCGTCGTTCCAAAGACCAAATGACATAACACGTGTGATAAGCATGAGCCAAGCCTGGCAAAGAGCAAGGCCTTGGTAAATGGAGGTTCTTTCTCATAACATTGCAACAGGACTATTCAGACACTGGCCGTGTTTGGAGTCAGGCAGGTGATGGCATCAAGGGTCTGGGAGATCTATCAGGTATGAAGCTCAGGAATCCAAGTCAAGGCCAGAGCAAGCAGGGAGCAGAGGTACAGTCCCAGGGAGAACAAATCAAGAACCCAGGGCTTGCTTCACTGACCAAGCACACCAAGTAGATCTCCGGGCAACAGCATCTTGGTCAATATACTGAAGATGTACCAGCCCAGGGAGTCAGAGAACTATATTTCCAGCCTCTGTCGCTGGTGGGTCGGTGTCAGTCATGATGGGTAGAACACTTTGCAGGACTGAGTCTGCAGGCGAAAGATATGTGCTCAGCAACGGTGTCTGCTCTGCCTTGAAGGCACTTCTCTTCCTCATCTGGCTAATTTTTCCTGTCCTTCAAAACTTAGCTCTGCTGTTATATTCTAATCAGTGCCCGTGGGTAGACACTTCTATTGTAGCTCTCCTCAGACTGGGCTGTGCCGAGGACTTCTTCGTCTTTCTCTCCTACCAGACCCTCAGCAGCTCAAGGGCAGTCCTGTACCTTCTTCGTCTGCCTACACATCGCCTAATAGGCCCTTGATAAATATTTGATGATCGAATGATTCATTTAACGAATGAATGAATCCCCAGTGTCTTCACTGAACCGTAATTTAAAAAGGTACCAAAATTACTTATTGCTTACCTTAATTCCCAAGTTCAAACATATATAATTTAAAAACTACACTTTGGATAAAGAAGGCACCTCCCAAACATCAGTCATCTGTTTAACCACTGCCATGGCTTTTGCCCTGTCCTGAACTATACTTTGTGTTTTTATTTGAAAAAAACTTACTGTTTAAACGTAAATACTTTAACCATCTCTTTAATAGTAATCTTCTAGACCGATGTGCTACTCATATGTAATATACCTAATTGTGATATTGTGATTTATAATAAGAAATATATATTTGATCTTCACTCCCGTTTCTGGCACAGGGCTGCCAAAACCCTCAGAATTTCCTGAGTGATAAGAGCAATGGGAACATTTTGTGTTATAATATTTAGTCTCTTGTCCTCACTTCTAAAAATCTCTTCAGAGCCATAAAGGTGAATTGGGGTTCTTGTTATTCCTAACAAGCCCCTTTTAACCACGACGGAGTTTATATAAATGAGGTGATTTTCGGAGAGCCTCTAAAGATGGGAGAGGGCGGGGCTGGCTGCCAGGAGAGCCGATCATGTGATTAGAGGGTTGGAAGAGGTAAGGATTGTATAACAAACAGAGGTAGAGAATGGAGTGTGGTGCACGTGAGTGTGCGTGTGTGCACATGCATGCACACCTTCCCCGTCCGTCCCTGTCTGTGCGTCTCCGTCAGCCTCCTCCTTGCTTTGTCTATGTCCGTGTTTATGTACGTGGTGTATATTTACTATCACTCTAGTGCTCCCAAGGGGACGTCTACACACACTGAAATGAAGCCGCTGTAATAAAAACCTACCAAACCGATGGGAGGGACGTGAGGGGAATGTCGGTGAGGCAGATAAGTGAGAAGCTGAGGTGGCAGAGCCGGAGTTGTCCCCAAGTGCCCTCTCCCAGGGGAGAAGCAGCTGCCCCACACACAACACAACTATCTTCTTTGATAGGCCCAAGAGCAAGTGACAGATTTCCCGGTAAATTTTAGCCTCTCTGCCATCCCACACACCAGTCCTCCCCTGCCTGCAAGCCAGAGGCCTCAAACACGTGTTTCTGCTTTTGAGATACAGTTTCAGCTGTGTCTGGGCCAACGCCTCTTCCATGGCTTTCTTCGTTTTGCTGACTCCTGTTGACAGTGGATCTGCTTCCAGGTACCTGGGGGCACTCACAGCCAGTGCCCCTAGTGAGCTGGTGGCATTCAAATCCTCCTGTGATCCAGGACACAGATGCCTTCAGGGGCTGAGGAGGTGGGTCTGGAGGTGTGTCCACCTGCCGGTCAGAAAGCAGGGCCAGTCAGGGCAGCTCTGCTTGGCTCCTTCCAGCAAAATCCAGCAAAAAAGTAGTGAAGTAGGGAGGGCCATCTTGCTTTACAACATATTACGCAGGCCTGACTCATTCATTCACTCAACAGATACTCACTAAGCACCTACTGTGTGCCGAGCACTAGCCTAGGTACTGGGGAAACAACAGTGAAGAAACAGATGGGTATCTCTGACTTTAGGAGCTTGCAGTGTTAGCAAGAGGAAGCAGTGAAGAAATCGTCAACGTAGTGGATAAATCATACAGTCGCTGAGCAAGCGGTAAGTACTACGGAACGAGGAAATGGAGCAGGGTCAGTGGGACCCGGGAAGAGTGCAGTTTTAAACGGGATGGTCACAGAAGACTTCCCAGAGACGCTAAGTGGGGGCCTGTTGAGGGCACCTGCCCCTTTCCTGTTCTTCGTGTTTCTTTTCAGGCTCTTTGCTGGGGGCTGTGAGATCGGGAGATGGTTAAATTAAGCCTGTGCTGTGAGAGGGAATTGTGTGAAGATGCCATTGTGACTGTGACACTGTTGAGCGTTGCGGAGGGAAGTTCAGTTCAGGAGGAAAGTGATATTGTGGTCCAAGACAGGCTCGTGCCACTCGGGGCTCGGACTCCTCACTGGACAGCCTCTGCTGTGTCCCCTGTGTGGTGAAGGGGGCATTATTGCTTCCATGTGTCTCAGTGTCCCTCCCGCCCCTAGCCTGCCTCTCAGGGGTGTTCTGAGGGTTCTGAGGTTCTGACGTGATGTCTGACGATCTTGGAGGTCCGCTGACATCGATCTCATAAGGTGCGACTGTGGAGATTGTTTCTGCAGCCGGAGGTGATGGGCTGCGGTAAGGATGATCCTGATGCTGACTGGCGCTGGGTCCCTGGGCACGACCCTCTTGAGGTGTGTTCGTGGTGACACAGCCGTCTTTCCATCATTCCGCCTGCCCCTGCAGGGGACCGAGCTGTACATTCTGGTTTGTGTTTGGATGGCTGACACTGTGACAAGCCCATTTGGACATTTGCTCCTGGCACCCAGGCTGCGCCGTTCCCGATAGCTCCTGGGAGAGGGAACTTGAAGAACAGGCCTGAGAGTGAATGACAGCAATCGGAGCCACCTGGGGTGCTCACAAAAAGAGAAAAGCTGTCGCAGCGTTTCACCCAATTTCACTCAGGCAAAAGCCTTGCCATTTGTCTGGAGCGGGATCCGCAGTTTCCAGCACGTCATGACCGAGATGTTCTCACTTCCGACTTCCTTCTCAGTGAAGGCAGAACATCTCCATCGCAGAGCTCGAGGGAACGAGGCAGGGGAAAGGACTTCCTGCTCCAGTTTCCTACAGCCACAAGGGGCTGGTGGCCTGGATTCTCTACTGTATCACAAAACCTCAGAACTGGAAAAGCCCTTGAGCCTCATCGGGTTCAGCTCTCTCCCGCTGCCTTTCTCCCCTATGATTGATGAGCCAGCTGAAGCCCAGGGAAGTAAATAGCTCGTCCAGAGCCACACAGGTGGTTGAGAGAGGAGCCGAGTTGAGAATGCAGCTGGCATCCCACTGTCACGTCTTCCCCTTCCCCTATTCCACTGAGGACACTTGGAGCAATTTGTGGGGGTGAGAGACTCTCCTCATCCCCTAGTCTTCCCAGCAGGAGAGTCGCGTGCCCGAGTCCTCAGCCACCAGAACGAGCCTTAGAAACCAAACGGACTTGCCGTGGGCAGGAAGGGATGACTGGGTCACGAGGGGTGAGAGTAAGAACTCGGAACCGACCTCACCGATCTGTGAAGGAGGTCCCAAGGCTTATTCTTTCTTAGTTCTCTCCTGATGCAAGTTGGGACAAGGGCTCCTGTACAACATCCACTCTAGAGCATCTTGGGGTACACAGGGCTCCAGACACAGCCAGTCCACTCCACAGAGGGAGTAAGCAGAGAAGCAGCCCACCACTCCCATCATCTTTGCTTCTCGTGATCACTCGTATAGGCGTAAAAGTCTCTAACATCCGAGTATGATCGAGCTTAGCAGCCCTGCCTGAGAGGAAAAGATGACAGTGACTTGACATTTCTCAGAAAGTCATGGGGGTGACCGGAATCAGCAATGTGTGCAGGACAGAAACCACAGGTGGTCATGAACTGGCTGTGAACTTGGGTTTTCATCTTAGCCCTCAGTACTCATCAGCTCTGCCACCCGGAGCAAGTCATCCAAGCGGTTTGTGCCTCTGTTTCTTCATGCGTAAAATGCAAATGGTCACGTCAACCTTTTGGGACTTTTAGGATTAAAGTTAATATATGTAAAGTGCCCAGCATATAGTAGGCTCTCAGCAAGTTCAGGGTTATCATCATCATATTATTATTACTAATACTTTTAGGAAACGCACTGTCGCTAGGGGTAGCGAGGCTTGGACAAACTACCGCTTGGTGGCTGAAGGTCATTTCAGCTCCGGGCACCAGCTCCCCCAGGTTCCCCAGCACCCCTAGCCGTTTTGAAGCCCCTCAGACAATTAATAAGGCTGAGTGTCCCTTCCCTCCCGTTAGCCCTGCCCTTGAGGAGACAGAAGGACCTGGAGCCTGAGGTGTCCTTCCCCAGTCAGAGTCCTGTGGCTTCTCCTGGGCTCGGCGGGTTTTTCTTTGCAAACTCTACGTCTGCTCTGGGGAAGGAATTTTAGTCCGTCTGCATCCAGCCGCACTGAACTTGAGGGTATCACAGACTAGACAGCTGAAATAGCGTCTGGCTCCTCATGTGTCAGGATTTCCAGGGCAGAAGGGGGCATGGCTTGTTCCCCTTCTCTGCCCAGAACAAAAGAGGAGCAAGTGTGTAAAGGTGGGGCGGATGAGGGAGGAAGCGGAGCAGGAGCAAGACAGGACATCTAAGGGGCAAGTGATTATGGAAAGGCCATGGCAGCTCTCTCGTCCTGAACTCCATTAAGCTTCTGTCTGCAGCAATTGCCCTGCCAGCCAGATCTCTCCACTCAGTGCCAGCGTCTCCACACTTTCAGGGCACTCGAAGTGCCATTTTTAAGGCAACCACCTACGATGTTCCACGTAGCGGCATGTGGGAAGACTCTACCGCGTGGGCAAACAGGCCAGGGGCTGTGTCTCCACCCTGGCCACGTGTGCTTATTGTGCGCCCAGCGCAGGGCTGAGCACTGTGCAGCGTGGAGAAGAGAGGAAGGGAGGCCTGTTGTGGGAGCTCTCTGGGGCGAGTGGGGACACACTCCAGCTTCCGGGGCACTGCGAAGAAAGTAACCCCTTGTGAAGTTAGGGCTTGCTGGGGAAAAGGGTGTCAGCTTGAAAGGTCATTGCTCTTGCTGTGTTTCCTAAGGCAAGGCCCTCAATTCTACGGGCTCGCCTTGGCCCCTCCACCTCCTCTTACATGGGTGGGTGCGGACGGATGCTGGTCCACACAACTCCTGTCCTCTAGGGACTGGACGATGTCAGAACAGAAGTGTTTAAGATCCTGAGGACTGATTGACTTGTGCTTGAGTTCTGCAGAAAGAGAGGCTGGAAATATCAGGTCCTGGAGTAATCATGTCCTCAGTTTGAATATTGATACAATGTTTTTAAAATGTAAACAGTCGTGTGTTAATTTGTACCATTGTTCGAGATGACTAGTTGGTATTAGCGATGTCACAGGACTTTACCAAACACAATGTAGGAATGAAAGGAGAAATTACAAACAGCAGAATTGTATCTGAACTGAGTCTCTGAAGTGCATTTCAAATATTATGCGTAGACAACAGAGACATGAATTTGAAACGGACTCAAAGACAATGCTATCAGTTCGAAGGGATGCATAATGATTGAGGTGGAGATTGGATATTTTTTAAAGAAGGTCGCGCAAACCAAGGAAGGAGTGGAGAAACGGGTTCGGAAAGAGGTAGATCCCTCTCAAAAAAGATGGAGGGCTGGTGCCAAAGGCTGTCCAGTCACCTGCTGGGAGACCTGAAGGTGACTCAGAGCCTGAGCTGGAACCACCAGTCCTAGTTTCCAGTCCTGGCTTTGACACTTTCTATCTCTATGACCTTGGGCAAGTTATTTAACCTCTGGGTACTTCGATTTTCTCAACAGTAACACAGGATATGCTAGTGCCATTTCCTGGGTGTTTACAATGAGTAAATTAGAAAACATATATAAAATTCTCAATGCAGGACCTGACGCATAACGAGGGCTCAATAAATCTTAGCTTTCATCTTTATTATTTTCAGTATGCTGGTCTACTAGGAGATTATCTATATTTTATTGAAAAAAATCACCTATAATATTTTTACTTCTATCATTCATAAACATACCCCTATCTCCTCCAGGGCATATTGGACCGCTGGTTTTTTGGTGCCTAGAGGGGCAGAGAGCAGACCAGGTGGCCTTCATCTGCCACACTTCCCAGTCAGCCATGGCCGCATAGCCTGAGGTCGGGGGTGTTGAGGGTCCCTCAGCTGTTCTGGTGGACTGTTGGTGTCCAACTTGTTTCCCCAAGTCACCACCTTTAGCAGAGGTCACCACTGACACCTGACATTGCTTTCAGGCCCCTACTCCCCTGAAGCCACCCTTAATCCACAAGACTTGGTGATAAATGCTCACTCTTACAAAGGTGAGGGCGTCTCAGGACACAAGCAATACACACGTGACATGTGACATTTAGAGGAGGTCTCTCACCTGTCCCTCACCTTGAAAACGCTTTAAGCATCAGTTAGATCAGGATGCTAAAGGTTGCTAAGAATAATCGGATGGGACAAGGGAATAAACTATTAGAATTTCTTTTTCTTTTTTCTATTTAAAACAAGAAATTAGGCTTTTTAAATTAGGCTATTTAAGGTACAACTGATAGTGGATGCCATTTCCCTGCCTCGGTCTACATATGAGCCATTCATGTGTCGGGAAGGTATGGAGGTGCACTGAAGTGCCACATCGCTGGTGGTTGGCGCTGGTGTTCTTACCAGCTGAGTCAGTTTCAGCATATGACAACAAATTTGCAATTTATGTCTCACAAATATTATCAATATTATGAAAACAATCCTTTAAATAGAATTTTTGTTGATAGTTTGCAGTGAGATGAAAATTTTTGTATGGCACAGAGATTTGCTGGTCATAGTTACAGAAATAAATGTTTTTCTTTTAAAAGAACCAAAATGTTTCACATTTGTTGACCTTCTCTGTTCTGACAAGCAGCTGTCAGAAGCAGCTGTCAGAGGTATGCCACTTAACTGATAACTTTGAAAAATTACATATTCCAGCTGCCCCCTCAATATAAAGTCAATGTGTTAACAATGGATTAGAAAGTAACTACTTTTATAAAGAATTTATGGCATGGAGAGACTATTTTGGATGGGGGAAAAAAGAATATTTAGAAATAGTTTATCTTGACGTGGTTTTATTGTTGATGTGAGTGTGATAGATACTTTAATAACATATACAAAAACTTAAAAAATTTGGAAACAGAATCTGCCTAAAATTCTTCCAACTGAAGAGTTTTAAAGGGTTTTGACCTATTTGTTTAAAAATACAAAAATTCAGCACCTTCCAATTAGTTCAAAGAACAGCTGATTGACATCAGAGAAGATGGAAATCTACTAGCTGAATTTCAACAACAATCTTCCCATAATTGGTGCATGAAACCGAAAAAAAAAAAAAGTATCGTGATTTAATCAGCATAGCCAACAATGTGCTTTTTGCACCTCTGTGTCTACATGAGGTATCTTTTCCATTGTGACAGCCATTAAAACAAAGTATCGAAATAAATGGGTCCTTACATTTTAGAACCCCATGTCACTAAGTGCTAAACAAAGATTTTCAAAAATAATGAAGCCAGTCTTAACACATCAGTCTCACCATTATTAATAATACTCTTTGTGGTGATAGTAAAATGGTTTACATAATTTATTAATAAAACAAAATAAGCTGATGCTATTTTTTTGTTTTATTTTATTTATTTTTATTTATTTATTTTTTTACACCTACAGCACCTGGTCTTCCCAGGTGTCCTCTCATCCAAGTACTAACCAGGCCCGACCCTTCTTAGCTTCCGAGATCAGATGAGATCGGGCATGTTCAGGGTGGCATGGCTGTAGGCTGTTTTTATCTTTGTCACACTTTATTCCTAATTTTGTGTATATTCGGTAATGCGATGATGTTAATAAGTAGCAGACGTATATTCTTTATAAACACATATATGTGCTTTGTGGTGCATGATCAAAAAGATTCTTACTACAGGGTGTATAATCAAAACTCTTCAGAGACCACTGGAGTATGTACATTTGCAGCTGCTTCATATATTAATCTCATCTCGATCTCTGATTTTCACTTTCCTGTACCTTCTAAAATTGTCTCCTTTGTACCCAAGAGTTTGTTGTTTAGACCCAGCTTAGCAGTCCACAGAGCCCGCTATGTGCAAGTGCATCGATTTGGAAAGAACCAGAGTGGTCAACTTCTTTATTTCTCGGTAATTTACCCAATGTTTTCTAGATCTTTCTGGGGCCCAGATCCCTGGACAGCAGACAGAAAATTCTCTCCGAGAGCTACCGTAGCAATTTGCGATAGTGCCGACAGATAAGAAAATCTTCACGCAAGCAGATAGCATTATGATGGCTCTGACCATTAGAGCTGGCAAGGAAGATTCTTGTAAAAATATGGCCAGAATGACATAAACCTGTCAGTCAAGAGTTGGCCTTTTCTCATGATGTCTGCCATTTCTCATTCCTTTCTCCTTTGTCTCGTGTCATTCCCATCTTTCCTTTAACCCGTTTTTGGCATCTCCCCCACCTTCCTCCTTATGTTCATCTCAGTCTCTTGTCTCACCCTTCTCCACATTCGCCTCCCATTTTCCCAGTCCCTGAGGAGGAAGGGGGGTGTTGGATGGGGTCAGGCCAGTGTTTTCCAAACTGTCGGTCATGACACATTAGTGGGTCGAGAAATCAATTTAGTGGGTCACTAAATCAATTTAAAGGGTCACGACCAGATTTTTTTTTTTAATGGAATAGAATAAAATCGAATAGAACAGTGTCCATCAAGCATAGTAAAGATAAGTGCCATTTGTGAAACTACAGTTGTTCGTGTCTGTGTGTGCCCTTGTTGCACTGTAAAACATATGTCTTGCCGTGAGTCACGGTCAAAATGTAATCCACTGGTCTCAGGGATAATGTCTTGTATACACTGGCAGTAAGATGACTTCAGCTTTGGGCATCCAACTCATATTCCAAGCATAGCTAATGACATCATCTGAACTAGTTTTTATTTAAGTGATTTCTCAGTTTCAATAATTTGGCTTCAACAGTTACTGGTTGACAGTTTAGTGTAACGGCTGTGGGGTAGTGGACGGGTGTTGGACACAGAGTAAGGCTCACTGGAATCAAGTCCTTGACTTGTGGAATCTTGACTTCTGAGTCTCAGTTTTCTCATTTTGGGACCTTATCAATGCTTTCCAACCCATTATTTTGTTAAGGCACACATAGAAAGTAAATGTATTTGTACAGCTTACCGGGGTGATGGAGGTTCCCTTATGACCAGAAGGGACCAGGTTCTGGGGGCACTGTCTTCTCCAGACATTTCCCAGCTGCCCTAAGAGTTAAAGGATCAAAATCGTAGTACACCTATGGCCCACCGCAGCATCACAGAGCATGTCACCCCTCACCAGTGGGAAGCACCGTTCAGATGACCACAATATACAAATAGGCCTAGAAATCTTTGTCTTTGCAACTGTGTATGTAGGTCCCCATGCTGGGAATATACAAAGATGCATAAGATGTGCAAGAGTATACAAAGATGCCTTTAACAGGCACATATACAAAGATGCCTTCTAGGAGCTTACTAGTTAGTGGTTTTGTCCACCACCCACATGTTGCAAGAGACACCATGTGATGCAGGGCCAGCTGAGCCATGATTAGCTTGCCTTTGCAGCAGCCCCTCCTTGCCTGGAGCTCTGACACTTGAAAATTTCTTTCCTCTCCATGGGAACTGAACACGCCCTCTGAACTGCCTTGCAATCTTGATATTTCTTAGTTATAGACGTAAACCTAAGACAAGTCAAGATGAAAGGGCCAAACTCCAATGGCTCTTTAAATGCCAGCTCCTGCTGCATTCACCGTGTGCACTGAAGCTAATAAAACTAATTACTACCTTCTTAAAGAGCTGAGCATGGATGGGTACACCCTTGAAAGTGGCCAGCAGAAATGTTTCTTGAAAACCAGTCTCCCTGGCACCCGAGGACCCCTGCCTCGGGCCATTAGTGAAGAGACTGGTCATTATTAACTAGTTGGCATTGACTGATGACACCAAGCCTTTTTTTGGCCAAGCATGGTCTAGTGGCAGGTGCTTAGTTGACCCCTGGAATTTGGAATTTATTTTGCCATGAAAACAAAGAAATAAATTAGAGGAATGAGCAGAAGCTCCCATGGTTAGACACATTGGTTAGACAGACAACTCAACAACCTCTGCTGGCCCAGTCCCCAAGGCCACACCCACCAGAAGGAGCCTGCCTTGGTTAACACACTTCCGGGTTCCTGGCACTGTTCCGCTCCAGACCAGCAAATGAAGAAAGAGATTCCTGTCCCCCCGCCCCCTTTTTACCCCTCTGGAGCCTGGTGTCATAGAAAGAGATGTTGTCTGTGCCACATCCTGCATACTGGAGAAGATTCAGAAATCCCTTATGTAAGGGACCCATTTTATCGAATATGCTTATATGATAGATTGTATGTTACAAGTACCAGGGGAATCTTTCTGCATAGGAAATAACTCTTTTAACATGTTTGGCAGTCATTTACATTGTCAGGTCATATTTGATTTTTTTTTTTTAAGTGAGATACCCTTGTTATCAAATGATATCCTTTCAACTTAATTTAACAAGCACATATTGTTGACCTACTAGAGGGACTGGCAAACTATAGTCTAAATCTGATGGACCATCTGTTTTTGTAAATAAAATTTTTCTGGAACCTGGTTATGCCTATTCACTTGCGTATCCTCTATGGCTGCTTTTACCATGACAGCAGAGTTGAGTAGTTGAGATAGGTCATGTTTCCTCTGTCAACTCTAACATATAAACTCTCTGGCCATTTATAGACAAAAATGTCCTTCTCCTGACCTGCTATGTGTTAAAACCTCAAGGTCAGGGAACAAAGAGGAAAGTACAAAAAAAGTCTGGCTGGGTTCTTGCCCTCAGGGAGGTTACAAGTTCACAGGTGAGAGGATCTTAAACACACAAAGCATAAAATGACAACGGTTTCCAATTTGGGGCTCAGCCACACAGTGTGTGTCCTCACCCGTGGGTCTCTGCTTCCATCCTGTCCAGGAAGCCCTATGACTCATCTCACTCAGAAAATTATGTGCTGACTTCAAAGCCTACATTGCACTTTGAATCATTCTCACCCAAACTCTTCAGATTGCATGCTCCTATCTATGTTCGTCTTTGCAGTCTCAGGATCCTGGTGTGCAATTTATAACATACAGATGCTCAATAAGCATTTGATGCACTTAAATGAATCCTCACACTGATTTTGGAAAGATGGTAGGAACCTACATGAAATGACCTTCTCTCTACCAACTAATATATATACATATATGTATGTATGTATATATATATATATGTGTGTGTATATATACACACAACTAATATACATATATGTATACACACACACATATATATATGTATCCTTTGTCAGATGTGTGTGTGTGTATATATATATCTATAGATATCTATAGCTATAGATCTATATAAATGTCTTTTACTTGATATAGATCTATAGATATCTATATCCATAGATCTATATAGATCTATATCTCCCAAATGGAGCTTGGACCAAACTCATGAAGTCAAAGTGTCTACATCTCATTTCAGGCCAAGATCTTGGCTATGACTTTAAGCCAAGTTCCAAGGGTCTCCCAAACAGTTAAACCATTTTGGTAATTGACTTCTATGCAAGTCTCTGTTTCTGGAGAATATCTGTAAATGTTGGTCATATGGGAGAAAAAGGCCAAGTAACTTATTCTTCTCCTGCTTTCCCTCCAAAATCTCCTAAATCCCACCAACACACAAAGGAAATTTTTTTAAAAATCAAAATGAGAACAATAATTTTATGTGATGGGATTATTTATATGGCTGTTCACCCCATGATAAATCCATCCACGAGCTCAGCACCATCTCCAGATGCCAATTCATAAATCAAGAAATATTATTACCCACTGGCCATAAAAACAGAGCCCGCCCCAACACAGAGCTCTCATTTCAGAAGTGGCTGCCCCATTTCAGGGCAGAAATGAGTTCAGAAAATCCACCTGGCTGTCCAGAGGGAAGAGAAATGTCTTTTACTTGATAAATAATCAGTCTTTCCTTCCTCTCAATTCCTTTCCCCTAGAAATATATAGAATTAATGGCACAGATATATGCCATTCCACAGAAATAATAATAACAGGGCTAACTAGATTGAAATGGGGCAAAGGGCAAGAGTGAGCATGGTGAGAAGCCTGCAGATTTTCCTGAGAAACCTTTTCTGTTAGCTTAAATGCAGTTCATGAATAAACAACTTAGAGACAATTTAGTGCAAGTCTTCCTTTCTGGGCACTTCTTCTGCAAGTAGCCATCAAGGACAGGTAGAGAAGCAGGGGAAAGGGCTGGGAAGGAGAGAGTCATTGCAGAAAAGGCTGGAGGAAGTAGATGGAAGCCGCTGGATCTGTTTATAATTCCTCCAATGTGACCGTATACTTCATTTTTTATCTCCGAGGATGTGTGTTGAAATGGGAAGAGGAAATAAGGAAAATTAAAGGAGAGAGAAGAAAGGAGGAGGAAGAATGAGAAGGAAGGCTGTGGGAAATCTCTTTAGGAGGGGTGTGGCCATACTCACTTGACAAATAGGCAAGATACAGCAGTAGACAAAACAGACAATGCCCACGCATGCATTTATGTAGCTTACATTCTAAGGGGATGAACAAAAAACAAGTGAGCAAATAAATAACCAAGGTAATTTCTTCTAGTGATAAGTGCTATGGTGGAAATGAAATGGAATCACATGATAGAGAGAAGCTGAAACCAGCAATTGAAGATTTAGACTGAAGTGGTCCAGGAAGCAATTTCTGAATAGA